GTGGGGGTGGCCGGGCCCCGCTTCTCCGCCTTTGGAGTGGGGTTATTGGCATGTGTGGTGTCCTGGGGGCGGGGGGTTTGGGGGCTCGCACTCCGAAGCGAGTGGCACCGGGACTCTCTGGGCGATCCTGCTCCCTCCGCTGCGTGGGTGGCCCCTCCGGGTGGGCTGCAGGCTGCTGCGTGGCGGGGACTGAGAGGCGTCGGCTGGGGGGAGGGCGTGCCAGAGTTTCCGGCCGGGTCATTACCGAATGGGATGTGGCCCTGGTTTCGGGGGAGTTAAAACGGCTAAGAAGTGATTAAAAACGAAACTGAACTTTGTTCGACTGGGAGGTGGAAAAACGACTGGTAACGTGTGCAGAGGAGATAATCTGGTTACAGGTTAGCCCCAGCTCCTCCTTATGTCCTGCTTTGCTCAGCATGTTTATATGCAAATAATCCGAGCCGTCCCAAGATTAGTTAGATCAGGAGTTTAAACTGCTCACACCCCTGGCTCAGGTGGAACAGGGTTTCCGGGGAAGAAGTTCTCCCAGATAATGTGCTTGAGCTATAGCTGTTTTAATGTGTTTCCCTCACTTCTAATGAGTCCTGGAATAGCCATAGAAACTTGAACCTACTGCCTGAGCTTGGATGAGCAGACGTCCTTGCTGCAGTGTCCTGGGAATGGGCTGGGGGTGAGAGCTAACTAGTTTGAACTGGTTTTGTGTAACTCGGAAACGAGTTGTTTGAAGTGAGCCTGAGCTGCTGGGGTGGTGGGGCCAAGCTCCCAGACTGTGAGTCCAGTTACTGTGGCCAAATCAATGGACCTGCTTGTGGAACGAGCCACGCTGGGGAGAAATGCTCAGACTAGGGGGAGCTGGCATTTGTTTGCTTGATGCTTCTGTAGGGTTGGTTACCTTTGTCTATGCAGAAAAGGAACTGGCTTTGGGAAGGCTTCCTGTTAGTTTGAGCAACAACAAGGAACGCCTTTCAGTTTCGTAAAGGCTTGTCTTGTTTGCTTATTCATGAGGGGGCACTGCAGGTCAAGCAGGGGAATTCTGTTGTTCCGGTCACTAAAAGCACATTCATAAAAGGGCGACACATCTGCCTGGCCCTAGGTGACTGTCCTTTGTTTTTGGCTTGAGGGACAGGACTCATGCCAGGCTGTGAAACAACTTCTATGCTGTGGTTCTGATGTGGAAATAGGGACTGCAACATGACAGAGACAGCAGGCGTGTCTCAGATGGGGAGGAAGGAACTAGAAATGGGTTATGGATTGTTTTTTTCTGGCCCGGGTAAGTGTGAGCAGCAGAACCCTCTGGAAGCAAGCAGGTACTTGCTTTCGATTGCTCACACTTAGCAGTGACTCTTGCTGCTTTTTGGCTCTAGAGTGTGGTGGCTGCATCTTCTCACTGGAGGCCTTATGGTGTGTTTGGGGTTGTGTGCATGCCTGCCTCTAAATCCTCATTTCTTGCAGGAATGCTTCGGAAGCTGGAAATCCAGAAAGAGGAAGATCTGCAGTCCGTGTGTGAAGTGGCTGCCCATGTGTTCAGCGATGGCGTAACAAACTGGGGTCGAGTGGTGACGCTCATCTCATTTGGTGCCTTTGTTGCAAAACACCTGAAGAGCATAAACCAGGAGAAGTGCATCAGTGTCCTGGCAGGAATCATCACGGATGCACTCGTCTCATCGAAGCACGAGTGGCTAATGAGCCAAGGAGGCTGGGTGAGTCACTGCCTGTCCTGAACACTGCAAGCTTTTCAGAACAATCCAGTATTTTCCTATTTTTGTGACCTGCTCACTGACAAATGCATGTGTCAGCGAAGCACAGCAATGACTCCCTGCTCCAGTTAAAACCACAGTTTTTAAAACACCTAGCCCAAGTTCTGTTGTTTCACAAAATCGTTACAGCGAGCTGTCTGAAGCAGTCTTAACCTAAAACTGTGTCCCTACCCAGCATGTAGTGGGCAGCATTCCCAAAGCCAGGTCAATCTCAGGTGCACTAAGCTTGCTTGAAGCTGGTCCTCAGCAGCTTGGGTAGTATCTCCCAGTCGTTCCCTTTGCACAGGGAGATTGTGGCTGTCGGGAGTCGGGGGAACGCACTTGGCGGACGTGCTGGGTGGGCTGTACCCCAGTCTGCTCTGCCAGGGAAAAAGGCTTTCTATGCCTTCCTGCCAGGTAAGAGTGACCAGCACAAAAATGACTTTCCCTTCTTTCTTCTAGGAGGGCTTTGTTGACTTTTTTCGAGTTGAGGACCTAGAAGGCAGCATCAGAAACGTCCTGATGGCGTTTGCAGGTGTGGCTGGACTGGGAGCAAGCTTGGCCTACATGATCCGGTGAGCCAGGTTATGCTGCAGAGGGACAAAACTCTGGGTGGACCAGCTCCGTTTGGGGCTGGTGAGCTGATCACTTCCTCCTGTGAGTACTTATGAAGCTGGACTTGAGTAAACCAAGGAGAATATCTAGGCATGCCCTGAGCAATCCCTTCTGAGAAGGCAGGTGTGATCCAGTCAGATTGTGGGTACCGATGAGGATTAATTGCTTTGGGAACAGAAAGTGGAAGAATTGATATTCTGCTTCCTTCAAGAGGATGATGACAGAAAGCTCAAGTGGACCATTTCAGTTCTATCCTGGAAGGAACTGATCTGCCTAGCAGGAAGCCAGTGAGCATCAGCAGCTCTTGTCTGGACTGAAGCCTCCTGGGCTTGGCGTGGCAGCTGTGTGTGGAGCAGATGTTTCAGGGTTGTGGTTTTCTGGAAATAGCATCTTCTGCTGCTGGTGTCCTGCCTAAACTTGCGGCTTTTCTGTTGGAGCAGAAGCATTGAATGCTGGGTGTTGTGCAAGCCTGTGCCTGCGCCAGGTGTGGTGGCAAGCTGGCGTCTGGCTGCTGCTGGTTTAGCACCCATCTGCCCTCTGGAAGTGGGAGACCTGTGCCAGCAGGCAAGATGTGTGACCAGCTGCAGATCATGGGGCCCTGTCAGGTTCCTTCCCTCCCAGCAGGGCTTCGGGAAGATGCTGGGCAGGAGAGGAGCTTCAGGGCCATGACTGCAGCCTGCTGCAGCACAGCCGTGTTGGCCTGGCTGATCTCGGCCACACCGGTGTGACTCACCACACACAGGCAGGTTAAAAATAGGGAGTGCTTTTGTAAGTATGTAAAACCCCACATAGTGTGGGAAGGCTGTAGAGAACCTGTAAATATCTATAAATCTGTAGAATATGTACATTTTTACAGAGCTAATGATACAAAAAGGAGGAATTTTGAATGTTGTAGAACTGCTTATAGGTGTGCGTACTTCATTCCTCATGTGAAGTATCGTTTTTGTGGTGAAGCCTTCTCCTGCCTTGACGACACGTGAGCCTTTCTCTGATGTACTTGAGCAATGTTGCCAGGGAGCGTTACAAGGATCAGTGGCCTGGTGGACTCTTGTTGTGCCCACCATGGCTTGCTGGCAACAGTTGATGTTTCTGTTCATTTCAATCTTTTTGGTTATTCTAGCTCTTCTAGTGAGGGGGGAGCTGTGGAAGTTGGTATTGGTCACTTCCTTGTCTTCTCTTCATTTTGATCCTCTAAAAGCCATGAGTCGAACGAAGCTGATGTTAGAATGTAAATGTTCTGAAGCAGAATAAAACTCGTCAGCTTGGATCCGCAGCTTGTGCATGTCCGTTGGTGCCAGCCCTGGGCTCAGTCCCTGTTCCCCAGCTGGTAGTGTTGCTTTTTGGTGGGTTTGCAGCACTCCTCTGCCCTGTGGATTGGTTGGTTCTTGAGGCGCTCCACTCTGTGAGACTGGATCCTGCACAGCGAGGGACATCCTTATCCATGGTGCTTGACCTGCAGCCTGAGCAATGCCTGATGGACATACAAGCTGAAAGATGGTGCTATTGTCAGGCCCGCTTGTTGCTGAACAAGCACTTAGTTTTGTCAATAAATGTCTTTTATTCTCAATCCTCTAGTATAAAACTTGCTGTTTCCCGTAACCAGATGCTAATGTGTGAAGTGTTTCCTCTTTGCTCTGCTGCCGTGGGCCCATTCACATGGATCCTGCCTGTGAGGCACTCGAGAGCCTCCTGCCTATTAGAAAGCCTCTGTGGGCTGTGGACTGTTCTGGGTGTCTTGTGTCACTCTGGAGTCAGCGCTCTGGGGCTGTTCCATGCTGGGATGCTCTTTTTCCTTCGCCATGTGTGTGAATGAGGGGAGCCCATGAGGCGCTTTGCGCTCGGTGCCTGCGTGCTATCTAACAGCTTCACTTGCAGTGCCCGAAGTCTGCTGTGGCTCTTTGGGTGTCTGCACTTGGGGGCTGTGTGTTATCACCCTCTGTCATCAAGGTGGGGGCCTGCAGCCCTCCAAGGAGAGGAGACTTCCTGGAAGCCAGGGCTGAGCTGTATTCCTCACCCCTTCCAAGAGTGGAGATGTACTCTGGGTGGCTTTGGTTGTCCAGCGTGAGTCGTGTCCCTCCTATGCCTGAGCAGGGCAAGCTGGTGCTGCAGTTGCTGAGGAGGCCTCTTGGCGGGGAGGGGACCCTGCTT